AAACTCCCAAGAAAGGTTTTATTTGTGGAGCTTTTCTCTCATACAAATTCTCTAATTTACTACATAAAGATTGTTTTCTCTTAAGTTATATGGTGATAAACGTTATTACTTATCTTTTGTTAGATTAAAGTAATAGTTTTCATCTATTTGTATTCTTCCTTTGTTGGTTTTATCTATTGGTTTTACACATTCACCCTCAATTGATCATATAGATTTTTACAAAACAAAAGAGCTTCCATCCTTGACTTTCATATGCAATAGTTCGATGAAGTTAATTTAAACACGGTACAACTACTAGAATTATCCATATTATTTTGCATGAGAGATATCCAAACAATAAACTTTTCGCTTATACCAATTGAAGAGAAAAAGAACACAAATACGATAATTTCCCAATTCAACAAGCACTACAAATTACTCTTTTTTTTTTTTTTTTCTCTTCTTGTGCAAAATAAAATTAGAAATTATAAGTTAACCAATCGAGAGAAAATAAATAAAATTATATCCACAAAATACCAAAACTTTCTAGGAAAAAAATTCTTTAAAATAAGAAGAAAAATTATAGGATCTAATCAAATCAAAACTTCCAATAAATTAAAGGGTGTATAAAGTGTCCTTTAATATCATTAGAGATAAATACCAAACAAGAATTCTATATTTCGCACAAAAGAAAATAAAAATTTCACCGAAAAATAATCGTCAACAAAAACACAAGAGAACGTGGAAAGATCTTCCCAAATGTGCATTCAAAAAAAATATACCAAATATTCAGCATCTGATATTGGCAAGAAAGTTTCTTCTTCTTTGGTCTTAAACCCCCAATTTTCCCTCTCTTTCCCTTTTTCAATTTTCTTTCTTATTCTTCTCTTACTTCCTTTCCCTTCTTTTTTTCTTCTCATTTATTTGTGGGTCGCACCCACTTAAGTGGCAGACACATCTTCATTGACAGAGTAGAACTAATTTTTGTTCGCATGTTTAGGAATAAGTTTCTTCCATTTCAATGAAGAAAATGAATTCTTCTGAGAATACTATAATGATTAGCTATACAAATATTAAATTGCAACACAATATCGTTGGAAAGAAGTCAACAATGTATCGTTTAGTATTATGTAGAAGAGAGTCAAGGGAACATGGCAATAAATGGAAGGTCAGCTAGATGGGCGTTAATGGAGGAAAACTACCGCGTATTGACCATCACCTCTCAGCTTCAAATAATTCCAGTACAATATTAATCAATGATGGTATAATTTTACATAATTAATCGTGTAATTTAATTTGATTTGATTTGATTTGGTAAATAAACATATTCAGATTCTGATATTGAATTAAACTCGGTCATGAATAGTAAAACTTAACAATAGATTGCATAGTTCAATTTGATTTATTGATTAATAAAAGTAAATTATCCAAATATTTTATCAAAATTTAATTCTTAAAAAGTAATTGAACCACTAATTTTAAAAATTTATTTTGTAATTTATAATGAATTATGCCCACACGTGATGATTATTATTATTTAAGAACGAACAAATTTCACATGTGGGAAACGGGTGATATTTACAGACTACCCGTATTCTGCAGATTATTATTTTTTTAATTTTCAAATTGTTTTATTTTACTCGTCCTGCTCAGATTTTCATACTGATACAGCAGATGCGAGAATTCATGGAGATCCAGAAGTGACACCTTCCCTGGTCTTATTATATATATACACGAGAGACATGCACTAACTAATATACCATTCATATTATAAAATTGTTTGTTTATCATCATAATTAATTATTCAATTAATTGCAATGACCGAGGATTGCATTTGAAAAAAGCAATTGTCCTTTTTTTTATAAAAAAAAAAAAAAAAAAAAAAAATTTCTGGGCATCTTAAAAAGCTAAGAAAGCTGCTTTGTTTGAACACCAAAATCTAATTTCCAGGGACTTTCCTGTTTCTATCTTCATTTCTCAGCAAGATGCGAACTGGTGAGTAAAGCCAATTTCTCTTCTTCTTCTTTCTCTTTGACTCAGTGCACATATACCTATAATAATGTATAGTAAATCATATTAAGGACCGAGTCTTTTTTTTTTGTGCTCGTTTTTATTTATGGATCCATCAGATGGCCGAGTCATCTTCTTCACAAGACTTCTTGTTGGCTCTCTGGTGGCAATCGTTGCCGCCGCCGCTGTGAAATCTCGCTGTCGCCGGGGAAAATATTCGAAAATGTCGATGAAGAACCTGATGCCGGTGCTTGACAGGACGGAATCTGGGCGCGATGGGAACCTTGAGAAATTTTCCCATTATGTTGGTAAATCTAATCTACTATAAAATTCAAGCTTTTGGTTCTCTATCAGCTTTACTGTTCTCCGACAAATTTTCAAATATAGAGTTCATCTGCTTTCTCTGACAAGTTTGCTCTTGACAATTTTCTGAAAATTTTATTGTGGATCTATGGCAGCTAGGCAAATGGGGTTTGGGGATGCAAATGAATGTCCCCAGCTGTGCAAATTAGCTTATGATTACTTGAAGAAATCAGAAGGGTATGATGAAATGATATTTGAGTATTTGGCAAAGGAAGCAGATGCAGAATCTTTGTATGTGAAGCTTATGGGAGAATTTGAGAGTTGCATCTTGAGTTACTTCGCGTTTCACTGGACTCAAGCTTCTCATATGATCACTCAGGTTACTCTGCTTCTGTTAACATACATAGATACGCAGTTTAAGTTTTTATAACGCCCAATTCGATCTATCCTTTGGTTTACAGGTTTTGAGTGTTGAATCGGAGAAGAAAAAGAAGCTCAAGGACATGATCATGGCGGCTACCAGGTGAGTAACTGTGTTTTGTTTTGACTTTTTTGGATAAGTATTTTAGTTTAAAATTGGAATTTTAATTTATAAATTTGTGGATTTTTGTTACTTATCTAAATAAAATAATTTTACTTTACCCTGTTCTATTGTCCTACCGAATTGATGTTGAAATAAAATAACGAAGAGAAAAGAAAAAGAAAAAGTAAAAGAGAACATTCTGAAAAAATAAATAAAAAATTATATTAAATAGGGGATTTTTTTTTTTTAGAGGTTACCACGTAGCATGTTTAGAGGGAAAGAGACCTCTTTTATAATTTTATTATTTAAAGAAAAAAAAAAAAGCCCATAAGATTAGGAATGAATTAAATATTATAATTTATGTCTAATTATTATATTTCCACTATCAACTTGTCCATAAATAATTATTTTAAATGCTCTCTTGGTCGCCATCTTCCATGTTAGTGTATTTTTTGGGAAAATTGTCTTACTGGAATTATGTAACTAAATTTAATTTTGATCAACTCAAATAATTTATTATAATTTTTTTAATCACTCTATACATACATAACAAATTATTGTTATTTATTTATTTTTCCAATTCAAACATCAAATAATATAGTTCAAAATTCATAAAACTTTTCAACCCAAGATGTGATAATTTGAATTCAAACTCAAATCACATCAAGCAAATGACTTTGAAATTCAAAACAACACGTGTGAGGGATATTGTTAATTATAAAAACAGAATTTAACTTTAAACATAATCTTATAATTGTTTTTTTTTTTTTTAAAAAAAACATTGTAATATTTGAAGTTCATAAAATGTAATGGACGGGAATGTAAAATTAAAACAGGAAACAGAGATTCGAGAAGGTGAGCAATGACTTGAAAGTTACAAGGGTATTTTCGACACTAGTGGAGGAGATGAAAGCCATTGGTCGCGACGGCGAAGGAAATTGCACCGATGTCATGATGCCGGTGGCTCATAGTCAGAGAAGTCCCGTTTTGCTCCTCATGGGCGGCGGCATGGGCGCTGGCAAGAGCACTGTTCTCAAGGACATCCTCAATGAGTAATAAATCTTTCTCTCTCTCTCTCTCTATATATATATACACACACACATATACGTACTTTTGATTAACAAAAATAATAAATTTCTAATGGGAGGAAAACATGGCAGGCCATTCTGGTCAGAAGCAGCTGCAAACGCAGTGGTTGTTGAAGCCGATGCGTTCAAAGAAACTGATGTTATCTACAGAGCTCTTAGCTCTCGCGGTCACCATAATGACATGCTTCAGACTGCTGAACTGGTAATTCATTACTTACATTTATATATACATATAAATTGATATGTATATATATTAGGATTTTACTATGTATTTAAAGTTGTTAGTTGTGCATTCGTAACGACTTTAATCTAACAGTCATGATATCTTAATCGTAGAATAAGAATATTTTCGTATTGAAATAGTGATGTTTTAATTATAAAGTAGTAATTGTTTAATTTTAATAATTATAAATTAGTGAATCAGTAGTTTTTTAATTAAAAGTTAAATTTTTATTGTAACATTTATTTAATATTTTCTATTTAAATTAATTAATTTCATTCACTCAGGTGCACCAGTCATCAACAGATGCAGCATCGTCACTGCTAGTGACCGCGCTGAATGAAGGGCGAGATGTTATAATGGATGGCACTTTATCATGGGAACCATTTGTGGAACAAACCATTGCCATGGCTAGAAACATTCACAAGTGTAGATACCGTATGGGGGTTGGCTACAAGGTTGAAGATGATGGTACCATTACTGAAAATTACTGGGAGCCTATTCCTCCAGATGAAGATGACCATGAACAAATACCCAACAGGAAACCATACAGGATAGAGATGGTCGGAGTGATTTGTGATACTTACCTTGCAGTAGTTAGAGGCATCAGGTACATCTTCCTTTTCTTCTCCTTTCTTTTCTTCTTTATTTTCTGCCATTTCATGATACAATTACGTAAGTTATAATACAATTTCTTAATGAATACACATCATACACATATACAGAAAAAAAGTATTAGCATTTTAGATTTTTACCCAAATCTTTTTTTTACCAGACGAGCTATAATGGTAAGAAGAGCAGTGAGAGTAAATTCACAGCTGAAATCCCACAAGAGATTTGCAACTGCATTTCCGAAATACTGCAAGCTGGTAGACAATGCAAGACTCTACTGCACCAACGCTGTTCGCGGCCCTCCTAAGGTACGTAAATTTTTTGAGAGTATAAATTAATTAATTTAATAAATTATAATTATCGTGAATAATAATTTTTGATATGTAAGTAACATATAACATTAAGTATTGGAGATTAGTAATGATTAAAACTGGAAGTAACATGGAAGGATGGAGAAAGTAAGCTACTGGTAGAGCCAAATGAAATCAAATGTTTGAAAGAAGTTAGCGAGATCGAGCCAGATGCAGAATCCATATACCAGCTGCACAAAGACCCAACTGTTCTATACCGGCCAGGATCTGTTTGGAACGACGTCGTTTTGTCTCCTTCCAGGTTCACCATTCAACGAGAGCTGAGACTAGCCATTCAAAGAATTGAAAAAACACTCATCCAATGATAAAGATTTGGAGGAGGGGAAGGAAAAACCTTGATAAGTGTGAATGGTGTGGTGTCTCTGTAATTTTTATATTGAGATTTGGAGGAAAAAAATAAAAATAATTTTTTATTTTTATATTTTTTTGGTGGGTTCAGTTTATGCCCATACTTCCTTTCATTTCCATGCAATTTCTCACTGGTAAAATAAGAAATAAGAAATAAAAATAAAAAAAAAAGAAACCCAAGCTGAATTTAAAGAAAATGGGAAGACAATTCGACTAACATGGCAAAGAATTCCAGAGGAGAAAGAAAAAGAAGATTTGTGGAGAGAATGAAAATAAATAATTTAATATTAAAATTTTGTAAGTAAATTAGTTTTTGAATTAATCGTGATAAGTTATTATTCTTAATTAACAGGGTACAGTGGTAACTCTAGCGTTATGTGATTGCACGACACGTCAAAATGGACCCAAAAAAAAAAATTAATAGGGGAGGATTTTATTGTGTAAAAATTAATAGAGAGATTTTTTTTTTTATATTTTGCCAAATGTTTTTTCTGAAATTTACCTTAGATTAAAATTTTAATTTATCGATTTGTTTTCCAGGTTAATAAAAAAAAATGAAAAAAGTTAAAAGCATTTTTATTATTGTTACCGTATTATTATTATATATTACAACTATTATTATTGTTATTTAGAGAAAGACATAAAGAGGGAGAGAGGGGGGGGAACCAAACAGAAACGACGCCGTCTAACCCAGCAGAGTAATAGAAAATGGTAGGCCTAAGCCGTCTAGCCCATGCTGAAAGTCGGCCCAATGTACTGAGGCCAGAATTGTCAAACGATGCCGTTTTGGTTTACTGCAAACCTGAGACGGGACCTTATGTATATATAAACGCACGCGTTCTACCACTCTTATCTTCTAATACCGAAAACCCTAGTAGCCGCCGGCCGATCTGTGCTCTGTTCAGCAGGTTTTTTCACTCGGAATTTCAACATGGCGAGTACCAGTTCCTCACTCCGTACTAGTTTAATTCTGATTTGCCGTTCCTGTATAACGTTTTTGTGCTTTTTTTTTTTTTGTGCATGTACAGGCGGATGTAGAGGCAGAGGTCGCAACAGGACAGCCGAAGAAGAGAACATTCAGGAAGTTCAGCTTCAGGGGCGTCGATTTGGATGCTCTTCTTGACATGTCGACTGATGAGCTTGTCAAGCTCTTCCACGCCCGGGCTCGGAGAAGGTGAATCCGTGCACACTTGCGCCGACACACACACACACACACACACAATATGTGATTGATTTGTTTCGTTTGGTTGTGCTTTCACAGGTTCCAGAGAGGGCTTAAAAGGAAGCCGATGGCTTTGATCAAGAAGCTGCGTAAGGCGGTAATATAATTGGTTTATCAATTCCCTGTCTTTTCTTTCTTGGAACAATGCGTTATTTTTTAGAGCTTTGGATGTTACAAATGATGCGTTGTTGATTGTCCTTATTGATTGCGGGTTTTAGGGAATTAGTGAAGAGTTAGGGAACTTCTCTTTTTTATACTCTAAAAATTGAGAGTTCATATGATTTGGATTTGTTTGGTTTCTCGCTGGTTGAAAATAGATAAATGATGTCGTGGAACTGTTTTCTTGTTTACAAAATTGTCCATTGAATCATGCACGAGGGTTTAATATGTTCATCAATGAAATAGATCTGTATGGCGTCATGGATTGATGAACTTTTATCATTTCGCCAGGGCAAATAGAAAATTAGATCTCTTTGCAAGTATAGTTCCAATATGCTTTAGGGCGTCAATATTTAGATCTATTCGCTTATATCCTAAATTCATATAATCCTCCATTGTTTGATGTGGGAGGTATCTTCTGTATGGTAATCGGTATTATATTATTGTCTGAAAAAATTAAATTGAATCTTTTTGGAAATTTAGTTCAGTGATACGCTTTAGGGTGTCAATGTTTGGATAGATCTCTTATAATTTAAATTAATATGATGGTCCCTCTATGTTTTATGTAGGAGGTATCTTCTGTATGGTAACCAAGATTCAATTGTTTGTTTCACATTATGGTTTGACCTTCTAGCATTGTGTTTCCTGACAATGAATCCTGCTTGCAATTATATATTATATGTTTGGGAGTCCGATAAAGTGGCTGGACTTCTTGCTTAAGTGTGAGGCTGATTCTAGCTTGATGATTAGTAAATGGTAGAAGATGAAAACATGTCAATGAGATCTTTACCAGGTCCATGCTTCATACTTTTAATTATCTAATAGTTCAGGACTGGGGCTGGGAGCGATTGAATTTGGGATGCATGAGCAGTGATTGTTTGTTAGTCACGGAATTATCAGACACTATTTTTCATGGTTTCCAAAGCTCAAATCTCTCTTTGTATTTTGGGGTTTCCCGTCAATTTTGAAAGTGAAATAGGGGTTTATGACAAAGTCTGGCTTTTCTTGTTCTGAATATCATAATGGCATTAATATATTGTTTTGTATGTGTTTAATATATGATGTAAGATAGTTTGGTGATAGTGCTGCAGGGAAGCATGAAATTGATTTTTTTCTGCAAGGGCTAGTTTTTAATAATTGCTTTTCTTGTCTTGTATCAGAAAAGGGAGGCTCCACCAGGTGAGAAGCCCGAACCAGTTCGCACTCACCTTAGAAATATGATCATTGTCCCTGAAATGATTGGAAGCATTATTGGAGTGTACAATGGTAAGACCTTTAATCAGGTGGAAATCAAACCTGAAATGATTGGGCATTACTTGGCTGAGTTTTCCATTTCATACAAGCCAGTCAAGCACGGTAGACCTGGTATTGGTGCTACCCATTCATCAAGGTTTATTCCTCTTAAATGAGGTCTTCATCAGAGCCCTAGGTACTCAGTTGGGATTCTATGCTATAAGGATGTCTTTTTGTTAATTTCTTTTTGCCTTTGATGCTTTAAGTACTTGATGAGTTGATTATTCAGAAATGAAACATTTTGTTTTGGATTTGGATCCTAGATTTTAAACTTTAATCTATATTTTGTGGCCTCTAAAGTTTCGGTTGTTTTTTACCCTCTGCGTAAGAGTGGAGTCTCAGACTGCTGAATGTTAGAACTCTTATATTGTTGGAAAATATTCGTGTAGAGCTTTCACGATTTCGAGTTGGTAAAAATGCATAATCACAGTTTATGGGTGTGAATGGACATTAATTGGTGCTCGTCTTTATGTTAAAGCTAAGATTTAGGAATGCAATGGGATTTTGATGTTAAATAATTTTGAAGGAATGTTTTAAAAATATATTTAGAGAAGGGTTTTTTCTTTTTGAAATGGGGTTGAGATGGTATCCGTATTGTATTTGTTTTTAGTTATCTATATGAGTCACTTTGGTTAATGTATTGGTATTTCAGATAATTTCTTTCTCTGTTTTTTAATTCATGTATTATGTCTTGTTCAATGTGGTGTCTAACATGTAGGTCTAGACTGCTAGGTAAAGATAACATGGGAAGGGCATTCTTTTAGAATGAAAAATTAAATGTTTAATCACAATTACCAGAAACGATATAGTTTGTGTTTTCACTTGGAAGGTGAGTACAACCTTAAAGCGTTTAAATTACAGAGAAGATCTGTCTGCATTGAGAAACCGAAATTCTAGTAATTATTCTAATTTTTATTGTCTCTTCACTCAATCACTATCATCTCAACTAAATGAAATAACATGCATCTCCGTGATTTAAATGAAAAATTCATAACAAAAATATATACAACACCACTAATGGTGCGGCTGTACTAGAAGTCGCCACTAGGCTGCTAGTGCAAAAGGAGCAACGAAGCAAAAGCAGAAGTTACTGACGAGACCAACGGTAGAAGATAGGGCGTCAACATCGACACTTGATAAGAGTGTCGAACGAGTGAGAGGCAAGGATAGAGACCCACAACTATACAAGCGAAAGAACAGAGAAGGGTTGGGGGCATTCGATTTTTCAGTTCAGATTGGAATTTGCACACTTTGTAAGGCGGAGGATGTTCACATCTATGACTATATATTTAGGTTCTGAAATTGTTGTCGAAACTTGGATCATGGGCTCAATACACTCGCTTACACATCCTTAAAAAGTGTAGGTCGGCTACCGGGCTTGAGCAGGTCAATGGGCCAATAAACAAATCTACATGCAAAGTCCTATTCAATAACACAGCAGTCTCCTCCAAATGAAGGCATCATTAAATACATTAAGTGTCTCTCTAACTAAATCGTGAATAAAATTATTTCACCTTCTTGAAATTTAAAAAAAAGAAAAAAACTAATCAAGAATCACCCTCCACAATAATATGTGAGATGCTCATATATGATCCCACTTTTAGACCATGAATTAAAATCATAAGTCAACAATAGAATTTAGAACTCGCCTCATTCTTGCAAACGTCATCCAACCAAATAAGTCCCTATTGACTAACCAATAAAAACTTAACATGAGTTTATTTTTATAAATTTCAACTATCAAGGAAATCCAAGCAAGATATATTAATCTTTTTGTTGACTAAAATTCTCCTCAAACACCAGATATGTAAGTTGTCAAAGTTATATAACTCATTTAATTTCCATTTCAATTGAGAGAAGAGAAAACTTTTCATAAATCATTAAACTATATGTTCTTATGGATCCAAGAACTCCTCGCCTATTAACTTTTTTAAATTAATCAGAAATCATTCCTTTTAAAGTTTATTAGCCAAAGCGAAAATAGAAACCAACCGACCACGAGAAAACAAAGATTGGAAGTCATTAAAAATGTGCAAAAGACTAAATTTCTAAACCTCGAAAGTATAAGAACAAGATTGAGGATGGTAGTTTATTTTCTCCTCATGTTTCTTGTACATAAGATATTCTCATCAATATTTGAGCTTTTTAAAATTAGATCATACCTATTAGCAAAATATCTTTGCTTATCTCTAAAGAAAATATTTTACCCGTAACAGAATTAATCAAAATAGTTTCTGGTTGACGTAAAAAAAAAAAAAAAATTTAATAATAGAATAACTTTAAAAATCAAACTTGCTCTTCTTTACTTTCTTCCTCGAGGAACCACCAAAAATTCCTCTATTATTACAATTCTCATTTATTTTATTATCCAACTCATCCATTCAAATACAGTCTCTCTCAATTTTCACTAGAAAAAGATGTGAATTAGATGTAAGCCTAGATGATCACAAAATGGCTTGAAGAAGATAAAAGAACATCAACACCAAGTTGAAGAAGATAGGAGAAGAATGCTGGCAGGTTAGCTTGGAGAAGAGGAAGAAACTCAAGTAGTGGAGTTGCTAGTGTATGGTGGGTAATGAGTTAAAAGTTATGATTTTCATTCTTTAATTATATACATATATATATATATATGTACATAATGTTTCTAATTAAAATTTTAAATTACATAATTTATATTTTTTATATAATTAGAAAACTAAGTTTATTTCAGATGAATTGTTGGGATGACTTTGAATGAATTGTTGATAATGAGAGTTTGCCAGGTTATGGATTTTATTATCATATTCTTTGTTAAATTCCTTTATTGAATTATGCTTCTGTTTGCAATTTATTTGTTTCTTTTTTTTTTCTTAAAAAATGGAGAACAATTAAATAATAATTTTGTCTCATTAGTTAATTAATTAATTAATTTTATTTTTACTAATCAATCAAATAATAGCTCACAATAAATATATAACGTATTGTGTGTGGAAATGCACTTACTTTAAGATTTTATGTAAAATGATAAAGAAAATATCTTGAAATTATGTGCTAAATTAATTTCATAATATTATCTGAATTTTAGATTTTTCTTTAATAATTGTGAAAATCTTTAGACTTTTTAATCCTTAATTAAGGTCACAATAGTCAAATATTTACATGGCCTTCTTTTTTTTTTTTTTTTTCTTTTAATTTTGTTTTTGTTTTCTTTTTACTATAAAAGAGATGAAGAATGCATGACAAGACGGCAGTCCTACGTTAGTCCTATGTTAGTCGGGCCAAAGCTAGTCAAGATGAAGGAGCTGAACTAGGTCTTGGAGGGTTTGAGAGAATTTTACAAGGCTAATGGGGTGCTTGTCGGCCCACTCTGGCAGCTGATATGTGGACCTGTTTCCTTCCCTATGAGTATGTAAGACATATTCCAATCGCAGCCGAGAGGTCCTCTTCAGTGAATCAAACCTCAATGATTAGATTCTTAATACCATAGTCCCACGCCAGTTGCAAGCCTTCCAGTGCTCCACGAAGTTCAGCGATCATGGGTTTGCTATAACCTATGTTACACATAAACCCAGCAATCTTGGTGCCCTAATAATCCCGGATCAGTCCTCTGACAGTTTAGTTTCATTTTCTAACTGAGCCGCTTTTTTGTTCTCTTTTACCCACATCTCACATTTTCTTTCCTTGGCTTATATGGACTGAAAAGAGAGACATTATGGATGATGCTATGCAGCAACCAAACAAAGACCAATATTTAAAGCCTGTGATTTCGACAAGGTGCTGACGCTAATGCAACAGAGACAGAGAAGGGCTGAACTTACAAAAGAAGAGGCCTTTTACGCTGGCTTACGAACAATAGGACCAGAGGTGACTTGTTCAGTGACAACTCGATGAAGAAGAAAAAAGCTGTGGGGAGGAGAAGAGAGACGTTTTAGTGTACTTGGATTGCATCCAGGGCTTCTAGAAGTTGCGTGGGGAGTTCCTTGTTGGTGAATTTTGCTTTAGGGTATAGGGTGCCAGAAAAGAGGTGCAGTTGCTTGAGTTGTTTGTGGCTGGAGGATGATGCACAGAGGAAGGGTTATTTTTGGTGGCGGTTGTAGTGTTCTTCGGCATGAGGTTGGACTTTTAAGAACAAGAACAGTGTGCAACGATGTTTCCAAAAGGAAGAAAAAGATGAGAGCTAACTTTTTTTTTTCTTCTTCGTTTCTTTCTTTTTTCTAATCCACACACACATATATATATATATATATATAATGCTAACTTTTTTTGCTATTACATGTTTTTTCATATAGTTCTTTTCTTTTTTAAATATTTTCATCTTCACTTTTTCCTTTGTATCTTTGCTTTTGTGTATTTATTTCCCCTTTTTGGCACAATTTTTGCTTTCACCAAGATTCATTATAATTTTTTACAATGAAGAATATGATGATTTTCTTAAAAGATTCTTCCATCATTTTCCGGTCGGCAAGCGTTAGGATCATAAACTATCAAGGTTAGACTATTGCTAATGATACTATCTTATTAGTGCATGAGTATGTAACATATCAATTCATAATCCATCCATCGAACATTTTTAAGAAATCCTTGCACTTAGAGCATAGTTTTTCTCTAGTAGGTCGTAAGGTCTATAATGAGCTTTCAAGAGAAATAAAGATAGTGTTTATGTACGTATTGAGGTCAAGGAAGAGTACTAACGTTCAGGTGGGCTACTTCAGCCATTACCAATTTCGGAGTGGAAGTGGGAACATATTATCATGGACTTTATTTCTAAATGTTCTGGTCTAGCCTTCAGCAAGTTATGAGGATGAAACTGTCTCTTAGTATTGCATTCCACCCTTGGACCGATAAGCTGTCAGAAAAAACAATCCACACACTTGAGGATATGCTCTGAACTTGTGTTCTTGACTTCGAGGGCCATTAGGATGACCATCTACACCTAATAGAATTCAAAACTTTACAAAGTGCATAATGTGTTTCTTATATCTATGCTACGCAAGTACAACCCAGACCCCTCTCACATCTTGACCCACGAGTCTCTTTCACTCCAGGAGGATCTGTCCTACAAAGAAGTACCGGTCGGCATTGTGGATCGAAAAAACAGATTACTTTGCAACCGAAAAATTTTTTTGTTAAGGTCTTATGGCAGAATCACACACCGAGAAAGGCCATATGAGAGCTACAATTAGACTTCAGGACCAAATATCCCCAGTTGTTTGATTGAGAGTGAGATAGACAAATTTGAGGGACTAAATTTCTTTTAAGGGAGGAGAGTTGTAATACCCTAAATTAATTTTTAATGTAATTTAGAATTTAATTATAAATATAATTTCTTAATTTTTCAATTTTTTAATTTTAATTTAGAATAAAAATGAAATAAAATTGATGGAAGAATAAATTGAAAA